GCGGTGAGTGCGAGCGGGGGTTCGGGGTTCGGTGTGCGGGGGGCGTCCTCTCCGTGCCCCGGGGCGGAGGCGGCTCTTCCTGGGCTGCGCCGCAGGCGGCGGGTGGCAGCGGCTGGGGGTGGGGGTCCCCGGTGGGGGTCCCCGCGTCTTGCTCGCAGGGCACACTTGCTTGTCATCGGCCGAGACTGCGGCGACCGGGCGGGGTGCAGGTGAGCTCTTAGGCCGGGCGGGGCGCTGCGGGCTCCGGGCCGTGTGGGGGGCCCCCCCAGGCCCGCCCCTTGGGGCTCTCAGGTCCCTGGCCCTCCCTGTGGCTGAGGGTCCTACAGGTGCTCATTACGCGCTGGTGGTGGTGGCTGCTGGGGGCTCTAGGGCTGGGTGGGTCTCCCCCCTCGTGGTAGCCCCAGGACCCTCTGAAACTGCGCCCCGAGTGGCCGGTCCACACGTCCTGCCGTTGTGAGGGGAAGGAAGTAGCTGTCCACTCCCCCTACGATGGCCAGCCCTCATTGGATACCACAGCTGGGCAGGCACCGAACTGGGGGCCTCTATTCTTCATCCTCTTCTTTCTGCCCTGGTCCCTTCTTTGCAACCGTGGGAACCCCCTTGGGCTCCTGCCCGCCACTCGGCTGTGGCACCTGTTTGATTTTCCCCAGAGTTCTCAGGGGCTTCCCTAAGTGACCCCCACTCTCAGGCTGTCCCATGGAGCCCGACCCAGCCTCCAGGGTCACTTGTGACCAGAATGGCATCCGGCACAAAGTAGGCGCTCAGTAAATAGGTGTCAGTAGCAGTGGACACGCCCGGCTGGCATCCGCCTGCCCAGACATGCCGCCAAGCACCCCAGCTGTGGCAAGACCTGTTCTGGTGGGGCGGCTCACCTCAGCCCGGGGGCATGCCAGCTTAGGGTGTCTGCCTACCCAGCAACTTCTAATTCGGGTGCGTGGTTGGTAGATGCTTTGAGCTGTTGGCGGGCCCAGCCCCCTGCCTCCCTCTGTCAGTAAGCACAGGTAGAGGTGGGGCCCCTCTGGGCCAGAGGGGACTGAGCACTGTTCTAGGTCCCCTACCACCTAAATGTCAGCGCCCAGGAGGCACGTGGCCAGTGTCTCGCCTTCAGGCGGTCCAGTCTTCCGGGGCTGAACTTGGTCTTCTTTGGCAGGTGGGGCAGGAGAGCCCCTTGAGCAGCCATGACGGAGTACAAGCTTGTGGTGGTGGGCGCAGGCGGCGTGGGGAAAAGCGCCCTGACCATCCAGCTCATCCAGAACCACTTTGTGGATGAGTACGACCCCACCATCGAGGTGAGCCAGGCCCATAGGCAGACTGAGTGTCCACACGTGGGCCCCAGCCTGTTATCCTCCCCAACCCCACTGTCTGCTCCTCTGGAGGATGTCCCTGGGGCCAGGGGTGACCCAAGACTTGTGTGCAGTCTCTATGCCGGAGGGCAGTGGGCTGGCCGCGTCCCTGAGCTGTGCGCTCCTGTAGGACTCGTACCGGAAGCAGGTGGTCATCGACGGGGAGACGTGCCTACTGGACATCCTGGACACTGCGGGTCAGGAGGAGTACAGCGCCATGCGGGATCAGTACATGCGCACGGGCGAGGGTTTTCTCTGTGTGTTTGCCATCAACAACACCAAGTCTTTCGAGGATGTTCATCAGTACAGGTACGTGCCCTCTTCTGCCGACCCGGGAGGCCAGCTGCAATCCAGCCACGTCTGAGGCCAGTGACCACTCCCGCCCCTCTCCCTGCAGGGAGCAGATCAAGCGGGTGAAGGACTCGGATGATGTACCCATGGTGCTGGTGGGGAACAAGTGTGACCTGCCCGCTCGAACTGTGGAGTCTCGGCAGGCCCAGGACCTTGCCCGAAACTACGGTCTTCCCTATATCGAGACCTCAGCCAAGACCCGCCAGGTGAGCCACTCTGCTGCCCAGAGCTAGCGCAGGACACCCCTGGGGCCACGCTCACTGCCACCTTTCCCTCCATGCAGGGCAGCCGCTCTGGCTCTGGCTCCAGCTCCGGGACCCCTCGGGACCCCCCGGGACCCGTGTGACCCGGCAGCCCCGGCGGCCCCTCGTGCTGTAAGTCCCCCAGGCGGCAGGGCAGGGGTGGCGAGGGACATGGTGGGGCTCCAAGCCCTGCAGCCTGGCTGACACAGCCCCTGGGGAGGGGGGGTCCCTGGAGAGAGCTGCCCTGAGCCAGGCCGGAGCGGTGGTCCTGGGGGCCCGACCCACTGCCCGCAGGGTGCCCTGAGGGCCCCTGGAAGTCTGAGCCCATAATGGGGCTGGTACAGACTTGGGCCTTAGCTCTGTCAGGAGCTGGGTGAGAGGTGGTGAGGCCTTGAGCTAGACTGGGGCCCGGGGGTTCTGGCTACACTGCCCCGTGGTGGGGAGAGCTGAGGAGGAAGTCTGTGAGGGGAAGGGATAGTTGGGCCCCTGGAGGATGAGTGTGGGTGTTTGGGGGTCTGGTGGGCATCGGCCTGAGCCCAGGCCTGGAGCCCACACCCGCAGCCCTGCTGAGCCGGGCCCTCCTGCAGGGTGTTGAGGATGCCTTCTACACACTGGTGCGGGAGATCCGGCAGTACAAGCTGCGGAAGCTGAACCCTCCGGACGAGAGTGGCGCCGGCTGCATGAACTGCAAATGCGTGCTCTCCTGACGAGGGGGCTGCGAGGCAGGTGAGCCCAGGCTGCGGCCCGCGTGGGTGTAGTGAGGGGACTGGCCTGCAGGGGACTGGTCAGCAGCGTCCTCTGTCCCCTGGCCGGCGCAGGTGTGGGTGCAGGATGCAGGGAGGCGGCCCAGATGGAGAGAGGCACGAAGGATGACGCACGCAGGAAGGAAGGGAAGAAGTGCCGCTGGGCTCTGCCAGCCCAGGACAGTGAGCAGAGGTGGCCTCAGACCTCCCATGGACGCTTTGCACAGACTGTCACGAGCCAAGTCCTCCACCTCTCCCCTGCTCCTGGGGCGCAGGAGGAACCGCAGTAAATTATTGGATGGTGTTGACCTGGAGTCGGCCTTGGGGTCGGGAGGCTGAGGGTGGGTCAGTGTCCAGGGAGACCCGTCGGAGGCCTTGGGCTCTGCTCAGTGTGGCCCAGGCAGTGGGTGCCTTCTGTCGAGCTGTGGGTGCCGGGAGACCCAGCCTTGGGAGTGAGGGTGCTGTCTCCCCCCCTAGAGTGGGGCGGGTGGGGGCTGCTCTGGAACCACGTCAGGGCGGGGTGGGGCTCCTGTGTCCGAGTTTTCAGACTGAAAGGAAGCTGATGAGGATGGCAGAGTTGGGGTTTAAGCCCCATCCCCACTCCTGCCCAGTTGTCCTCCAGTCCCTGGTCACGGGGCAGCACTCTTCGGAGACAGACTCCCTGGTCCTCCATTTCTGGTGTGTTGTGTGGCTGCCAGGCCCAGACACAGCTGTCCCTGCCCTGTGTCCATGGTTAGCCTGGCCAGGCATTTTTTCCGGCTGTCCCTGCTCAGGTCTCTGACACCTGCTGTAGACCACACCTGGGCAGTCATGCAATGCTCTGTCTTGACCCAAACTCCAGGACTGGCCAGGGCCACTGAGGCTCTGTCCCCTTGGTCCTCATTCTGGCTGTGGGGCCCGAGTGCCGCACCCCTCCCCGTGGGAAGAGCCACAGTGCAGGGGGTGGCCTCCGTGGGCATGGGTGGACCTGGTGCCGGGGCTTCTGGGAGACAGCAGCTGGTGCTGACAGGAGGGAGTCCCGTGTCCAGCATAAAGCCCCCGTGGTGCCCTCCCAAGGTCCAGGAGTGACCTCCTTCATGAGGACTGTAGCATGTCCTGTGTGCTGGCCTCTACGCCTCCCTGTGGTGGTGGCTTTGTTGAGGTGCCCACACTGCCACCTGTTGACCTCTGGGGCAGTCCAGCCAGGGGTCTGTGTGTGAGGGGTGCTGGGGGGTGGGGGGCCTGGGCACCAGGAGATGGGCTCCAGCCCAGTGCCGGGCATCCTGGGGAGTTCTCAGGTGCAGCTGGAAGGACAGACGCTGTTGATGCTCCACTGGCCTTGCCCGGCTCCCGCGGCCCCCTGTGTTAAAGTCGATGCCATCCCTTCCAGAGCCTTGGGCCCGCTGTAAACAGGTTTCCCTCAGGCTGTTCTTGGAGGGGGGACCAGGTGTGCGTACCAGTGGACCTCCCGTAGCCTCTGGGGAGAAGTGAGGGAAGGAGGGTCACCGTCCACTCCTGGGGCACCCGCCTGCCATGCAGGGCACCCCTCAATCCTCCTCAAGCTTCCTGCTGCACTGAGGGTGGGGGTGCAGGCAGCAATGGGAGTGTTGCACCCCATGTCTGGAGGCTTCTGTGAGGAGAAGACAGGAGGAAGGTGGGCCCTGGGTGCCCCCGCCCCACCACACAGGAGTCCAGGGAGCTGACCTGGGAGCGACATGTCATGGGTGTGGGGGTCAAGCTTGTCCTTCAGTGCTGCTCTGGGCAGGTCACATTCCTTCGCACCCACCTCAGCTGCTGAGGAACGGGCCGGGGTGAGGAACCAATCATTGCCCACCTGGCACTTCCCACTGTGGGTCTACGCTGGTCACAGGTGGACACGGCCTAGTACTCAGTGAGGGGGTAGGAGTTAGGTGGCACACAGTGGGGGGCTCTGAGCCTGATATGCCCCCTCCCCCAGCCCTGCTGTGGTCTCTACAGCTCTCCCAGGGAGGGAGCACCATTAGGCCAGGGGGAAGGAGGAAGGGGCCCTCTGTCCAGGAGATGGGCGGATGACACTCCAGACCCTGGCTTCAGAGTCCACTACACACAGCTGCAAGAGCAGGGCTCAACCCCCCTCCCCGGCCCCCCATACACAGAAAGGCCTGGTCCCTGGTCCCCAGCCCAGGTGGAGGGGCTGGGAGGAGACTAAGGGGCGGCAACTGCAGGACAGGGACACACGCATGGGGTGTGGACCCCAGGTTGAGGTGGCACACGCCTGGGAGAGGGCCAGGGGGCAGGACTCGGATTGAGAGGCCTAGGGCACTTGGCCACAGAGTCAAGGTCAGAACACAGAAGGGACCGAGGGCTGGGGATCACAGAATGCTGGGGGCTGGTTCTAAGCCCCCGAAGGCTTAGGAGTGTGGTGCGGTTAGAGAAGATGGATATGCTGGGGTGACCGCCCAGGGCACTGTTGTCTGAGGCCTGCAAGGGGACCATCTGGTGCAGCCCCCTCACGGCCTCCCAGGCCACACTATCAACGCCATGATCAATGCATGGATAATCACACCCTGGCCTGGATCACCTGTCAGAGAAAGTTCCTGGAGGGGAAACAGGCCCCTGGCCTCAGTGGGGGTATAAGTGGTCCACCTACTCACTGGGGGGTGGGTATCTAAGTCCCTACTCCATGCTCCCCAGGTGCAAATTTTAACTGGAATTGAGTTCTGAGGGGTGGGGGTGGCAGAGCCAAGCTAGCAGCCCCAAAGCAGGCACGTGCTCTGCACTGCAGTAGTGGACACATGGGCCAGGCTGGGCTGGGACCCCTCTGGGAAAAGCCCTCCCCACCAGCACACACAGGGGGAGTGGGGAGCTCACAGGAGGGAGGGAGTGCTGGGGGCCAGTCCCCCACAGAGCACCTGGGGACCCTTTCCTGTTTGCTGCTTTTATCCCTACCAGTGTCTGATGAATAACACGTATCTTCAGGGTCTAAGTTCAAGTCTGTGGTAACTACAGGATTACTCGGCACACCACTGACGTAAAATGCCCTTGAAGACTCGCCCCTGCCCTCTGCCAGCTCTGGGCATCTCGGGTAACCCCTAGAGGAAGGTGTCATTCTTTAGTTTGAAAGTGGTGGGTGAGCCCAGGTGCCCCCACCCTTTAGAGAGCCCCTCTACCCTTGGAGTGAGCTGAACTTTTCAAACAGCAGCAACACGCCAGGGACGGGCACCCAGGCAGCTCACTGCGTGACAGAATTGGCCAAAAAGACATGCAAAGAGGCTTCTGGCCTAGGAAAGGAGAGGAGGACGGAGTTGGACACTTGACTTCTGTTTGAACAACTCAGACACCACCAGTCCAAGGCAGCCAGCCGCAAGACTCCCCGCAGACAGCAACAGTCAGGTCTGCCCCTAGTGGCACCTGGCAATTTCATAGGTGAATTCTACATAAGATGACTGCAAAGCTACCTCAGGTGTGCGAGCTGATGTGTGTTTTCCCCCCACACTTTTTGTTCCTTTGCATCCATGAAGCACTTTTCTGGGGCATTACCAAATGCAGTCATGTAGAACGGTTCTGTCACCAAAAACTCTCCATGGGCCACTACCTACCTGTTTGTCCTGGTCCAGAGTATGATACTATACGATGGGCTTCTTGGGTCCGACTCAGCCCAGAGCCGAGGTGACCCTGGGACATAATGCATGAGGGTAAATATGTTAAGTTCCGATCCATAATGACCCTGTACAGGGTTTCTGAGGAGCAGTTGGTGGGTTTGAACTGTTGACCTTGTGGTTCACCATCCAGTGCTGATCCTACAGAACCACATCAGAAATAAAAAGAATAAGGCAGGCTAATAGAATTTTTAAACAAAACTCAAGTGGACATCTTCCCAAATCAAAGCTTTGCAGCGACTTTACTGGCATGCTGTCCCACATAAAACAAGGAAGACTGGGGGAGAGTCTTGCTGAATGAGGAAATGGCAGCTGGAGTCTATAAACTGGTAACAGAATTCCTACCGATGTGCTGGTGTCTTACACAGGCTGCGATATCACAAATACCACAAGTGGATGGCTCTAACAAACATGTACTCTCTGTTGATGAGAAGTCTGGACGTTCAAGTGAACCGTGCTGGCTCTAGGGGACGGCTGTCTGTCTCTGTCAGCTCTGGAGGCCTGGCATTCCTCGGAGATCGCCATTGCAACTGCGCATCAGTCTCTTCGGACATCTAGGAGCGTCGATGAAATGGAATGCATAAAGACCAATAGCCTGGGTGATGTTTAGTGCCATGGAGTTGGTTCTGATTCAGCGACCCTGTATAGGATTTCCAAGGAACAACTGATGGGTTTGAATGCCAACCTTGTGGCTAGCGGCCCAGTGCTGATCTTACAGCTTCACACCAGGCGATCGGTGTGTGGAATTGGACAGGTAGTGGCTATTTTGAAGCCATCGTTCATGGTTCTATGGTGGGAATGATGAAGAGGAATGGTATTAGAGTCATAAAAAAAATGCATCTCAAGATACATCTTAAACACTGTCTGTGACAATATCCATATGCCTACAAAAAAAGACCAGTTAATACCACTGTTATTCAAATATATGTACCAATCATTAAAGCCAATGATGAAGAATTCTAGTCCTGGTGTGGTAATACACTGGACTGAAAGGTCGGTTTGAACCACAAGGTTGGTGGTTCAAATTCACTAGCTCGTCCTCAGAAACCCTTTATAGGGTTGCTATGAGTTGAAACCCAATTAATGGCACGTAACAACAAGCAACTTGTTCTGTCTGAAATTGATCAAACATGCCATCAAGATGTACTGATGATTGCAATGCAAAAATTGGAAACAGAGGAAGGGTCCATAGTTGGAAAATCTGGACGTGGTGACACTAAAGATACTGGAAATTGCATGATAGAATTTTGAAAGACCAAAGACTTCTTCATTACAAATATCTTTAATCGACAACATAGACTATACGCATGGACCTTGCCAGATGTAATACACATGAACCAGATTAACTG